TCTTCAAAATCTACAGAGAACCTTGGACAGAGAGCACATTGGGATGGTCTCCGAATATCTACCCCAATAGGTCCACCAATAGGCTGGAGTGGAGACACCAAAGGAGAAGGACGGCCAAAGCCAAGGGACCTCAAATAGTCCTGCCGAAAAACAGGCACGCTGGTCTGCCTGGGGCCTGTACCCCAACGCTCCACTCTACGAAGCGGAATTCAGAAAACGGACAACAGGAAATATATCTGGAAGATAATTTCAAAAAATGCATCCCAATGTGCATGGACCACCTCCAGATGACATGTTGTGAAACTCCACTACTTCATTCTGATATTTTTTGGGGAGGTTGTTTGCCGTTGTTTTTTATATTATTGTTATTCTCTTATTTATAGTTATAAGTATACATTCATGTTCTGACGCCCTCCTCTGTCCAGTAACGAANCTCCGGGAGTGGGCGGCATACAAGACAAACAAACAAACAAACAAACAAACAAATAAATAAATAAATAAATAAATAAATAAATAAATAAATAAATTTGCCTGTCAATGTAATTGACAGTCACAACCTGTCTGTTTGGGCAACATCTTTCTTGTGGCATCCAGGCAACTAAGATTTCTATCATTTAATCTCAGTGAATGAATTAAAAGCCTCAAGCAATAACTGATAACTTGTATTTATAACTTCACAAAGCACAACAGGAAGACCCTTTTCTGTATGAACTTTGTATTTTTCTTCTATGCATGAATTCTGAAATGTGATTTTTCAAAAGAAAAATGTTCTGATGCTAACCTTTTCTGCTAACCCTTTATAATGGCCCACATTTTTTTCCTGAAACAGGTATCAACTTTTAAAAAAAAGTCTCTTCAAGCAGGATATGAAAGTATGGGATATTCTAGGAGTTGTAGTATTTCAAACAGAGCTTTGCAAGAACATACCTGTATTGGAACACTACAGCTCCAAGAACTTCCTAGTGTCACTGACTGTGGAACCATCTCCTTCATGACTAGAATAGGCAGGAAACTGATGACAATTACCACAGTAGATTGTGAAAACATCTCAGTGTTGGAATAAGTGAGAACTGGGACATATGGAACAATTTGTTATATTCTATGTTCTATTTTTATGTTTTGCTATGATTTGTGGGTTAATATGGGTTTTAAATATGAGTAAACTATTCTTCCAAGTTCATTCACCATTTAATTGGAATGAGTGAGAGCTCTAAGCAAAGCAAAATGTGTGTGCATTTATATAAACTAACATTTCAAATGTGTACAGTTTTGTTCTTGCTTTCTTTTCAGATGAAGGTGTAATTGCTATATGCTAAAAATCTGAACATTAAGATTTGGCATATTATGGAAATGTATTCCAATATTACCATGAAATTCCCGCCCCCTTCCTCATTCTTAAATTGGAAGAAACTTATTGCCTTTCTCCTCATGTAAAAATAATGTATTTGGTCTTGGAATTGTGAATGTCTATTCAATAAAGAATTAGGATGTTTGAAATAAATATCCTGTATAAAATGAGTTATTTCATTGGGAAATCAGAAATGAGATGTTCATATCTCTTGGAAATCTAACAGGCTCCTAGATTTGACAGGGACAGCACTTAGATAGGACTTAACTTCCTTTGAGAACTGTCAGGCTGATAAAGAGAAAGACAGATCAAGTGCAGATATGCAGGATTTTGAAAAGCTTAGCATGTCTTGAGAGAGGAAAGCTTGAATCTTTATCATGTTTTACACTGAACATCAAAAATCAGTGAATATAAGCAAAATCCAGTTTTATGTAGAAAGAATTTAAGAGGTCATTCCCTAACTATATGTTGGTGTAGAGTTTTATATTTAAAGCAAGGCTTTGTACCAGTGGTGGGATTCAAATAATGTAACAACCGGTTCTCTGCCCTAATGACCAGCTGGGTGGACGTGGCCATGGTGGGCATTGCCAGGGGGTGTGACAGGCAGTGTTCAGCCTCCTGCACCCCCCCCCCCAGAGCTAAAATGGGTAAGGTGACCAGATTTTCAGATTGGTAAAGAGGGACACCTTTGTGAGGGGGGGNTTTGTCTTCCTAGTCACCATTTCTTCGGGATGGTTTAGGTCCTACCGGACCGTCCAGGGGCAAAAGTGTCATCGGCGGACTCGGACTGTCGAGTCCGCACGATGTATCATCGTGACTTGGCTCCTCCCTCCACTGATTTTGAGGCCACGATAAGCCTTTCTGATGGCCTCAACGCTATTGCTAAGAGACAGAAAACTGCCATCTTGTGGTCGAAGCAGGTATTGTAGCCACAAGAAAAAACACTTTTTAAATAGCATTTTAAGATTATAATTCATAATTAAAGTCTGCCATACTGAGTATGTCAGTATCATTATTATTAAATGCCTCATTATTAATATCAATGTTGGACTTTATGCCCAATCACCATGGCTGTCCCCCAGTTCCTTTGAACTGCCATAGTCTGCCATATTGAGTATGCCATACTGAGTATGTCAGTATCATACTCAGTATGCCATACTGAGTATGTCTGCCATACTGAGTATGTCTGCCATACTGAGTATGTCAGTATCATTATTATTAAATGCCTCATTATTAATATTAATGTTGGACTTTATGTCCAATCACCATGGCTGTCCCCCAGTTCCTTTGAAAAATGACCTTTCGATCATGGCCGACTTCCTGTCCATTCTTCTTAGTCATCCTCTCAACTTCCTTGCGCAATGATCTTCTTGAGGTGGGGGGGGGAGATTGTGTGTCCCCATTCAGAATCAGATTGAATTTTATTCCCTTCATTTATGTCCTCACAAAGCTGCTTCTTTTTACTCTGGCACTAAAGCCCAAGCAGTCATATCTCTCTGCTAATTCCACGGGGGAGGGGCAATTCCCCTCAAGCAATTCCCCCACTTGAAGAGCTAGCAGAAAGGATCTCCAAAACCCAAGCCCTGACTGTGACTCACAAATGATGCTGCTCAGTTGCCCAGTAAAGCAGGATATATTGCACTAGTAAGTAGGAGTACCAGGGCTCATTGTATGTAATTTTAAAATACTAAATAGCCTGGATTGCAGACTGGCTAACCTCAATTTGGTCTCACAAAATAAGAGCTAGGGCAGCCTGTAACTTAAAGGAAAAGCATGGCTTTGAAGAATTTTGGGATTTCTGCTTGCTTGAAACCTGTCTGGAAGCTCACAGAAAGTGATATCTGATATCTGAAATTAATTGGCATGGAAAATATCAAATCTCTCTGATCTGGCCATCTTTTGTCAAGAACATGTGTGTCCCACTCACATGTTTTGGGGAAAAAAAGGAGGGATTGTAGGAAGTTAAAACCCACCCCTCTGCTAGAAAAATGAAATATCCTGGGAAATATTAATAAGGCAGAATATTATATTTCCCTAGATAAGAAATTGAGAAATATTTTAGGCAGGAAACAGACTCACTCTTGATAACACCCACCTTTGTCAATGAGCCATTAAAATGCCTGAGCTAGTCTATTCTACATAACAAAGATCCCCCTTAAGCTCCAGGATGAAGGCACGATAGTATTAGCCCTTTACTCATCTCACCACAGGGCATCTGGGAACACAACCAAGCTTGGGACTCAAAAGACACACAACCTATAAAGTTAGCTAGGACCGCCTCCCCCACTCTTGGGAGTCTGACAACCAATCAAAATATGTTTCTTACACAGGAACAGGAACAGGAAACAGAGAGGTGGGGCTGAACAGAGAGTATAAAAAAACCTCAGGAACTCTCATCAGGCCCCTTCATTTCTTTTTCTTCACTCAACATCTTCGAAGCATGTGATCCCCTTTTTGCCTAGGACCTCAAGCCATGTGATCTTGTTCATCATTAAAACCATCTTTCCAAAGAGTTTTCATGTTTCCAGTGCCTTTTTCCCCACTTAGAACTGAACTCAGATGGACATTTCTTCCAACATCACAAAACATGACTCTGGTAGTGTACAACAACTCCATAAAACCCAACAATTACAAAAATCACTACAATTAAAATATTAATATTATAAAATACTGAAGATCTAAAGGGGAGCACTTGTTGCTTGTTGCTACATATAATTGGAAGACATGTCATTAACCAGACGAGTGTTTTGGGCTTCAAAGGAGATGAACAAGACAACAAACCTTTGCTTGAAACAATGCTTCTCTTTCAAAAGGCTGGAATAAAACAGCTCCTTTGCTTCTTCCTTAACTTAAAAGCCCCTCACCCCCAAGTCTACAACAAGTGCCCCCTTTTTACTGAGCCAAAGCGGCTGGCTAGATCAATTCAACTCATTTTGATGCTTTGAAGTGAAGCAGAGCAATTCAGTCCCATCTCTAATCCAGCCAGCACGGCCATCCAGATGAGAGAGAATAATACTTCTTTGTACAGACCAGATTCACGAGTATGTTTATTGCTACCAACATGATTCACTAGTGCACAGAAGAGTTCTTCTGAGTTCTTTAGATTAGAATAGAGCTGGAAGGGACCTTGGAGGTCTTCTAGTGCAACCCTCCACCTCAAGGAGGAGGCTCTATTTCATTTCAGTAGCTGTCCAGTCTTTTTTTAAAAAAACCTCCAGTGACGAAGCCCCACGACTTCTGAAAATAATCTATTCTATTTTGTGTTTTTGTACTAAGGTGTACGTGTGTATGTGTTATATATATTACATTATTGCCTCTGCGTGCGTATCTCATGTGTTATATAATATGTAATATTGTATACAATATAATATATACAATACCTGCAAAATATAATATATAAATATAGCACGTAATGTATGATAACATTGTACTTGGCTTCATTTTGCCTCTAGGCCAGAGGGGACGCTCGCTCGGCCTGAAACAGCCGGAAGCCCCTCTCCCGAGGACTATGTAGGCGTCGCACCAACCGTCACCAACTTCCGCTTCTACTCCTGCACACGCCACCTGGAGTTCTCCCCGATTGGTTTCTTCTCTCCGCCCCCTACCGGGATTGATTGGCTAACTTTCCCATCCCTCCGCCTCTTCCTGCGCTGTCTCTGCGCCGCCTCCTTCCCACGGTTTTCTGCCGTCGCTGGGTGCCCCTTTCCGGCTCCGGTGCTGGATCGCCGGGGGCTCTTTGTGCGGAAAAGGCCAACAGGCGGCGGGTGCAGGTGATCGGGCTGGTGCTTACGCGTGGCAGTGGACGGAAGGGGGATCTCCCGAAACAGGCACGTGCGAAATGCGCAGATGGGTGTATGTGGCGTGTGAGAGTTTTTGCAAGGAGATGTGTATTGGCATTTGTGACGTTGGTCCCTCTGCAGTTTCGAGACCGGGTTGTGTCTGCTGGGCATGCATAGAATACATCATCATCATCTATAATAATACAGGTAGTCATCGACTTACAACAGTTCATTTAGTGACCGTTCGAAGTTACAACAGCTCTGAAAAAAGTGACATGACCATTTTTCACACTTATGACTGTTATAGAATCCCCATGGTCACCTGATTTACATTCGGATGTTTGGCAACTGGTTCATACTTACGACGGTTGCAGTGTCCTGGGGCCATGCGATCCCCTTTTGTGACCTGACAAGCAAAATCAATGGGGAAGCCAGATCCACTTAACAACTGTGTTACTAATTTAAGAACTACATTTATTTTCATTTAACAAATGTGAGAAAAGTCGTAACATGGGACAAAACTTACTTAACAAATTTCTTACTTCCAACATAAATTTTGGACTCAATTATGGTTGTATGTTGAGGCCCACCATACCTGTAGTGTTTTCCAAATCTGGCCACTTTAAGATTGGCAGACTCCATTCCCAGAATTCTTCAGTCAGTTTTGCTTTGCTGGCTGGGGAATTATGGGAGTTGAACTTCACCCATCTTAAAAGTGGCCAGATTTGAAAGAAGACTGATATTATTGAATCCGTCTTTTGGTTATTCTGCAACCTGGTGCCCTTCAGATGGCTGGGCTACCGTTTTTGTCCATCCATCCATCCATCCATTTGTTCGTTAATTTGATTTTGCCACGGATCTCTCCTGTAAGGTGAGTTTGGGTGGCTTACAGGTTCCAGATCCATGAGCAGGAAGAGGAGGGCAAAACCTGTATAGCTGAAACAGGAAAAAGGCTTGTCAGGGGCAAGTGGGGAGAGAAGATGATTACAGTGTGTTTCACTGTTGCATACTTTGAAGGAATGTTCCATTACTTCTTGTCTTGCCTTCTGGAGCTTTGGCAAATAGGTTGACTGCCACAAAGAAGAGTGGGAGGAACTATTCTTCAAAGCACCAGGAGGCAAGACAAGAAGCAACGGGTAGAAACTAATCAAGGAGAGAAGCAACTAAGAAATTTCCGAACAGTGAGAACAATTAACCAGTGGAAAAGCTTGCCTTCAGAAGTTGTGAGGGTTCCGTCCCTGGAGGTTTTTAAGAAGAGATTGGACAGCATTTGTCTGAAACGATATAGGATCTCCTGCTTGAGAAGGTGGACTAGAATACCTCCAAGGTCCCTTCCAGTCCGGTTATTCTGTTGATGGTGTGCCAGAAGAGTTTTGCAGAGGGGGCCTGGAGACCCCAGGGTAATACAGCGCCCATCAAATGGTTGGTTCGAATGTCGTCACCAGGTTGGTGAGGGTTTACTGGATTTTGTATTGGGGTTTTAGTTCTGTAAACTGCCCAGAGTCACTCTAAGTGAGTAGGGTAGCCACATTTTATTTATTTTACATCTCACTTACTATTTTTATAAATAACTCGGCAGTGAACATACCTTCCTCCTCCTATTTTTCCCACAACAACAATTTTGTGAGGTGGGTTTGGCTGAGAAGGATGGACTGGCCCAACATATTTTCTCAGTGAGAAATAAATAAGTATGAGAACATTTTGTTGGGAAAGATGAGGGCACTGATCTTCAACAAAATAGAGCATGAGGAGGTCTTGCTTGGTTTTATTTTAAAGATTGATCTTGGAGTGTGTTTAGGACTTAAATACAGGTAGTCCTCAACTTATGACCACAACTGAGCCTAAAATTAAATGAATTTTGTCCCATTTTACAACCTTTCTTGCCATAGTTCTTAAGTGAATTACTGCTGTTGTTAAACTAGTGAATTTGGCTTTCCCTTTGATTTTGCTTGTTGGAAGGTCAAAGAAGCCAATCATATAATCCCAGGACCCTGCAACAATACATGCCAGTTGCCAAGCATCTGAATTTTGATCTTATCACCATGGAGATGCTGCAACGGTCGTAGTTGTGAAAAATGATCATAGGTCACTTTTTCAGATCTGTTGTAAGTTCAAACATTAAATGAATGGTTGTAAGTTGAGGACAATTTGTAGAGGACTTGGGAATTAGTTGGTGGAGTTCATTTTTGGCTGGTTTGCTTTCTTTACATTTGTAGCACCGGATTCTGGGAAGCTTGAAGAAGGGCAGAGCTAGAAGGGCAGAGCTACAACAACATGGCTAGCAAGCCCAGAAACCAAAAGCCAGGATGGAAACTGGCAGCCAAGGCATCTCAGTTGAAGAGACCACGGAATGTTGTTCCTTGGCAGAGCAAGGCCGAATGGGACCAAGTGATGGTGGGGCTGTATTGTGAAGACTGCCACACACAACGAGAGGCACTGGACAGAGTGTCTGTCTGGAAGAGCAGGTGAGAAGAACATTTTTCTTTCAGCTGCATCAGTATAGTCCTTACCTCAGGTAGTCCTTGACTTACTGCAACATTTCGTTTCTGAGCGAGACTTGTTAAGTGAGTTTTGCCCTGTTTTATTACCTGTCCTGCCACAGTTGTTACCGTAGTTGTTAAATTAGTCACCTGGTTATTAAGTAAATCTGGCTTCCCCATTGACTGCTCGTCAGAAAGTCAGAAAAGGTGATCACGTGACCCCGGGTCACTACGCCCATCATAAATATGAGCCAGTTGCCAAGCATTTAAATTTTGATCAAATGACCTTGGGGATGCTGCAATGGTGGTAATCATTTTTTTCAGTGCTATTGTAACCATGAACGATCATGAAATGAAAGGTTGTAAGGAATTACCCGTAATAGGTATTCAGGGGTTCCATGTCTAGATCATTTATTTGTCAGATGTATTCAACTTTATAAATATTTTCCCCCTTAGAAGCTCTTTACATATTAATTTTGGTACAGAGAAATCCAGTGAATTCCTAATAATTGCAGAGAACTTTGGGGTTTACTGGTTGCTGTTCAGCACTATTGTGGACTGCTGGCTCTCAAAATGAGTTCAGTGTGTCTAAGAAAGCCATTCATTTTTGCTGCAGAGAGAAACTCTTTCAGAACAGTTGATGTTTTCCTTAAGGATGTTTGTAATCTCAAAAGGTGTTCTAAGTTTGCCGTAGAAGGACATACCGGTAAATCACGGCATGCAGAAGATCATAATGTTACTGTGTTTCATTCTGAAATTAGGTTTGGGTCCAAGATGCCTTTAGCTGTGGAATGCACTGCAGATCTGATCCGTTGTAAGCTTCTAGATGCCTCTGGAGTTCTGAAATCCCATGAACTGATCCTGACCTATGGCCTGGCTCTGGTGAGGTAAGAAAGAGGGAACAAGCTTGTTACAGGAGCTGCTGTGTAAGGTTTATTGGAGAGTCTAGGAAAGAGATAGTTACATTTTTACAGAAAGCTTTTTTTCTATCTCTAATGAAAGCAGCTTCTGAATTCTGAAGGTTTTTTTTTAAAGACACTCTTAAAAACTTTGAGCAAAGAATATATTGAAAAACAACAGGAATCTACGTGGGTTCTTCAAACCCAGTCTTTTTTCAGCTAGTAAATATTGACAATGAACTTATATTGGTAGTTTTTCAATAAATCTATTCAATGTCTTCTGCAACTAACCAAACTTAGTTTACTTAGTTCTCTCTTCTTCAGATATCAAATATTCTCTTTATTAATAGCCTTGTCCTAATCTGAAATGGCAACAAACTCTTTTCCAAAGATCTTTAGTTCTGTAAAAAAAAAAAAAAAGACCTTATCACCAAGGATTAGAACAGCGGTTCTCAACCTGTGGGTCGCGACCCCTTTGGGGGTTGAACAACCTTTTCACGGGTCGCCTAAGACCATCGGAACTCTTAAATCTTTAGACTTTAAGCATGCTGTGTCACACTCTCTCGCATGCACGCACACACCCACAAATGCACATGCAGACGCACATGCAGGGAAGAGGGTTAAGAATGATGAAATCCAAATGAAATACAATAGAAGGGGAAATAATATAAGGTNTGGCCTACCTCGCAGGGGTGTGCGGGGAGCATATTGTGTTGAGTCTGGAGAGAAAGCGATTGTTCACACATAGCAGTCTATTAATCTCCTTCGTCAAGAAAAGCGGGAGCATGCTCCTCAGAGCCAATGACATCACTTTGGTAGACTCAGTTCTATTGGTTACTGACTGAGTTAACCTATGCATGACCGCTGTCTCCACCTGCCCAGAGAAGGGGCATATCAGGTAAGAACCAATGCCCCATTCTTCCTGTTCACCATCTCTTCGGGACGGTTTAGGTCCGATTGGACCACCCAGCGGCAAAGGTATCGGCTGCGCTCTCGGAGCATCGGGACCGCAGGTCCGTATTGTCACGAAATTGGCTCCTCCCTCCCCGGCTATATTTTCATGGTTGCGCAAGTGACACAGGTTTTCAGTCTTCCACTTCTGCTTTCATTTTTTTTGAGATTTTTTTTTATTTTTTTATTCTCTTACATAGCATTTTAAGTACGGTATACATTCACATAGTTATTATTCTTCTATACATTTACCATTCTTATACATTTATTATTTCATTTAATGGGTTATAATATACAATTTGGGTTGTTTTATTTACCATCTCTTCTTCCTGTTTTCCCTTCCTTTTCTCCCTCCCTCCCTTCTCTACTTTCTTCCTTCTTCCTCTCCTTCCCGTTCTTTCTTCCCTTGCCTTTCTTCCGCTCCTCCTCTTCCTCTGCCTCTTCCCCTGCCTACCATCTCTCCTTCTCTTTCTCTCCCTTCCATCCTCCTCCCCTTGCCTCTTTCTTCTTTCCCCCATCCCCCTTTCATGTTCTCCTTTCTCTCTTTCTTTTCTATTATTGTAGGTGTCTCTTTCTGGCCTCAGTTTATATTTCCTTGAGATGGTATTTCCGCAGACCCAAATATAATTTGATGTCATTTTTTATTCTCTTGCCTTCGCTAATCTATCCTAGCTATATTTTCCTCCCCTTTATAACTCATTTTTGGCTGTATAGTTATATAATTAATATTTTCTTTTCTGTTTTCCCCTTCTCTCCCCCCCCCTCCATTTAACAGTGCCTCGTCTGGGTTCTATATCTTCTCCCTATTTTCTTTTCTAGTTTCTCTAACTAATCATAGAATATTCCCCCATGTCTTGAAGTGCTCCGATTCCTCTTTATCCGTTATTTTCATTGTCAACCTATTCATCTCTGCACAATCGAATATCTTTTTTATTATCTCTTCATCTGTTGGTAGCTTATTTGATTTCCAATTTTGGGCAAATAGAATTCTTGCTGCTGTAGTTACTTGTATAATCAAATAGGTATCCTCTTTCTTGAATTTCTCTGGAATAATACCTAATAAGAATATATCTGGTCTAAATTCTATTTCTTGTTGTAACATTTTCTTTAACCATACTCTTATCTTAGTCCAATAATCCTTTGCTTTTGCACATGTGATAGTATGATCCTATTGCTTGTGGACACTTCCAACAATTCGCTGATTTGTCTTTAGACATNAGTGATAGAGGGGGGGAAGTAGGTAGTAGAGGGGTATGTAAGAAGGAAGAATGAAAGTTGGAGGGGGTTGAAAGAGGGTGTATGGTGGATCAAGGAGGTATATTGGGTTTGTATTGTAGAGGGCATTTTCTATATAAGCGAGGGCTGTGTTTATTATATTCAATGTTATATGCCCCGGTTATGCACAGTAAACGTGATTGTATAGAATGGAATGGAAATAAAAAAATTAAAATAAAAAAAAAAACTGATGAAGCTTCTTGGATGAGAAGCGAAACATCTTCAAAGAAAAAAGAAAGAAAGTCCAGGTGCCTCCTGAAAAAAGCATCTTTGGGACAACCATGACCTGGATGACTGAGAATCTCTATAGAAGTTCAGAGAATGAATTTCTTGTTCAGGAAGCCACAGTTAGAATATTTATGGAGGTTCTAAGTCATCCAGGTCATGGTTGTCCCAAAGGCATGCTTTCAAAAGGCAACTGGACTTTCTTTGTTTTTCCTTGAAGATACTTATTGTGAAGTTTCCAAGAGCTGACCTAATTAATTTACAAGCATCCAGACAAAGTTCAAAGAAAACCCATTCATTTATTAGGACTAACATCTTGGCACGGACTTCTGTGGAGCTGAAACTAAATCCCACTTAATGGCGCCTGAACTTTACCCCTGTGTCCCCTCCCCTCTGCCTGAGGTCATCAATCATATTCTCCAACAGGACCTTACGGCAGGGTTCTGGACATGCACGTTCACATCCCAGTCACAGAAATATGAGACTTTTTACTCTGGCCAAAAGTATGCATGGCATTTCCCCCCACTTCTCAAGTTGATAGTAGTCATGGAAACGCTTTAGACCTTGACATCTATATTATAATTTATATTCCTTGCTGCTAATGATTAGATAACTTCAAGGGATATAAATCCTTCCATTCTCCACCATTCAGTCAGAATTGAAGAAGTTTCTTTGAGAAGTGAAACGTTTTCAAGGAAAAACAAGGAAAGTTCAGTTATCTTTGGTCAGAATGACATAGAGCAACTAAAGGGTTCAAAATTGGAAGAGGGATGTGCATATTGTCCCATTGTCCATTTAACATATGCAGAATATACCAAGAAAGATGCTGGATTAAAAGAAATTGGAATTAACATTGCTAGGAGTAATATCAACAATCCAATAACATATTTTTCAGAGTATATGATGCACCTTTCCCCCCTAAAAGAGGGTGAAAATTTGGGTGCGTCTTATACACTGAATGTAGCCCCAACCCTTTGGCCTCTGCCTCCCAGCAATTAACTCCTTGCAGCAAATGGGGAAAATGGGGCTTGCAGAGGTGGCAATAGGTTATGGCAATCCCTGCAGCCTGAAACAACTGATGATCGGGAGGCCCATGCTGAAATTGAAAGTGAAACTTGCTGTGTTTGCTGCACGGAGGCAAATTGCTGGGAGGCAGAGGCAGATTTTTTTTTTGTGCTAATCAGGCTGTTTGCTGCAAGGAGGTAAGTCATTAACTATAAATGCCTATAGAATGTTCAAATTATTACATTTTTTAAAAAAGACTGCTTTATTATTGTTCTAGACAACTTAACAAAATGAAGAAGCTTTTTAAAATAAATGCTTGATCTGAAGTGCTATTGTATCTTCTTTTAAACAGCAGAGAATAACATATACTTCCAGAAAGCCACATCAATTTTAAGTTTCTGTACAAGTATAGTCTGAAATGTAACATTATCCTGTTGTTTAATCAGACTCTGACTTAGTTCTGTTTGGAGTAGATCTATTTAAATAATTGGGAGGAGCTAGTGTGACTATATTTAAGAAAACTTTCTGGCATTAGTATACTGCCCTAATGTACATTTCTTTCCTATTTCTATGGGTCAGGCCCACATGCACAGAAATACACCACAAACGTGTATATTGTCTGTACTGTTTGCTGTTTGTTGCAAGGAGCTAAATTGCTGGGTGGCAGAGGCAGATTTTCCCCCCTTGTTTTCCTCCCCAAAAGCTAGGTGCATCTTATACTTTGGAGTGTCTTATACTCTGAAAAATACGGTATATGTTGTTGGACACACAGAAAAGGAATCTCTTGAAGGTGAAAGAAATGAGTGTAAACATCAAGCTGCTGCTCAATAGGGTTTTTTAAAAAAGAAAACCTTAATTCATGTCAATAGGCAATGCCAATCTAATGCAGAGAGTCATTGAAATAGTAAATTCAAAAATTCTTAGGAATGGTGGCTAGAACTATGAAATAAAGAGGTGTTCTTTCTTGAGATAAAGGCTACAACAGATCTAGATTGAAAATTAAGGTACATGGACATCAGACCAAAACAAATGTATATAAGGTTTTCCCCAGAAATGAAGGCAAATATGTATGTCCCAGGATAATGTTGCAGGATCCAATCATGGTCGGTCACTGGGACCAGAAGTTTATTATTCCAAGCTTTCAGACTCATGCTGGAGCCCATTCTCAGGGAATTTCTCTCTAGCAGAATGTGTGCTTTGGACTATTCTATGTTCCTTGACGATCGGCTCCAGCAAGAGACCAAAAGCTTGGAAGACTAAACCTCTGGTCCCAGTGACCAAACGAGATTGGATTCTGTCTTCCCTAACTACAAATGTGGCTTTAAAAGCTGGGCCATCAGAAAGACTCTGAAAAAAACCCATATTGCTCTTGAAGTATGGTGCTGGTTGAAATTATCTTGGACCTGGAGAACATGAGATGCTAACCACACTGCTCGTTGAAAGCACTTTTTTCAAAACTAAAGCATGCATCAGATAAAGGCATGGGTCCCTGGAAAACATCCTTATGCTTGCAGAAATGGAAAGCTAGATGGAGAGATGCCATCACTGAGAACATAAAGCAGTATTTTCAAAAAATCAAAGTGACTGACAGTCTTGGTAATTAAGTTTCTTGGACACAAAGAGAAGTGGCAACAAAAGTAATGTAGGGGATTAAACTAATATAGGCAGTCCTCAACGTATGACCATAATTGACCCCCAAATTTTTCCCCCCATTTTATGACTTTTCTTGCCACAGTTGTAAAGTTGTAAAGTGAATCACATATGGTAGTTATGTGGTTGTTAAGTGAACCCAGCTTACCCATTGATTTTGCTTGTCAGAAGATTGCAAAAAGTAATCACCTGATCCCATGACACCATCTGAATATTGATTATGTGACCATGAGGATGCTGCCACGGTTATAAGTTTGAAAAACTTTCATTCGTCCCTTTTTTCAGTGCTATTGTAACTTTGAACGGTCACTGAACAAATTATTGTAAGTCAAGGGCTACTTTTATTTGAATTTTAAATGGACTATCATGTTATAAATATGCACACCTAATTTGTACTGTCTATTTTTGTTCTGTTTGAACCAGATTTATATTCATTTTGAATAGTTATGAGTACAGATGTTTTATCCTTTCCGATTTCTTCCTGTTGTCTTTTCTATTCCTAACCTGGTTGATTGTTGGAATCAACAGTTTCCAAGTTGGTTGTCATAATGACTTACCGTATTTTTCAGAGTATAAGACACACNTACATCTAAGTTTTGTGTGTGTGTATTTTACATGTTTGTTAATAATTAAAAAAAAAAAAGGGTCACGGCATTAGAAAGGTTGAGAACCGCTGGATTAGAAGGACCAATGCACAGTTTAAGAGATACTAGCAAGCCATTGAACATTACCAGTTACTTAGCTGCAGGAAACTATTTTATAGTCTGAGCTGTTACAGTAATGCTTTCTTGAATTAATAGATGTTAAGTAGTTATTTCATGTGCATTGTTAAGTCATATAACTGAAAACATGTAAGTTTTGTTTCATGAACATTATTGCTTCAAGTGGTAGCTGAATTGTTATTCTGCATTGTTCTGAATATTACATTGCTTGTCTCTGGGCTCACAAAACTGTTTTAAAACATACATGAAAAGGAAGACCCAAAGATGACAAGAACTGAACAAAAAAGAAACAAACCCACACTATCTACTGTAAGGGGCTTCATTCTTGCTAAGCTCTGAATAAAGAATCAGATCTTCAAGCCCTTTCAAAACAACAAAGAATGGGACCATCAGATCATGGGGTGGAAACCTCATTCTAGAGGGCAGACATGCTTCTGGGGTCCCCAAGAATAGACATTGTTTAATTGAAGAAACCTGGAGCATGCCAACACTGCCAATTCAAATTGGCAAAGCAAATACTATGGAAGGCAGACAGCCCCTCAAATAACCAGCTCCTCTGCCATGGGTCATAATGAACAATTAATTTTAAGATGGTGGCTGAAGGCTGGGAGGATTTGTCTTTCTGGGTTTGATTCAGGTTCAAGTGATATTCTCTAACACAAGTAGTTTCCCTGAAATCATTCAGCACTTCTATCACCCACAGGTTTGTGAATCTCATCACCGAGCGGAAGCAGAAGATGGTTACCATTCCACTGAGGCATCTAGCAAAAGAGGTAAAAGAGGTTTGAATTGATTAAGCTCTGGGAGCTGTGAAATAATTGCATTGCTTCCATCTCTGATTTTAATAATCATTTGGTTCTTGTCCAAGCTGAACATCCCAACCTGGATTGTGGATCTACGTCACGACTTAACACATGGCACCCTTCCCCAGCTGGTAACTTGCCGAAAAGGTAAAGGATTATTTTTTATTTTGATAAAGTTACCATGGTGGTGTAGTGGTTAGAATGCAGTTATTGCAGGTTAACTCTGTCCACTGCCAAGAGTTCAATCCTGACCGGCTCAAGATTGACTCAGACTTCCATCCTTCTGAGGTCGGTAAAATGAGGACCCAGTTTGTTGGGGGCAATATGCTGACATTGTACACTGCTCAGAGTGTGCTGTAAAGCACTATGGAGTGGTGTATAAGTCTAAATGCTATTGCTAGTACTATGCCATTAGTAATTGCAAACAGCCAAGCACAAAGAGCACCAAGGACACCACTGTTCAACATGGAGCTGCATATAGGTAGTCCTTGACTTACGACCAAAATTTCTATTGCCCCAATGTACAGCCTTTCTTGCTACAGTTGTTAAATGAATCACTGCAATTGTTAAATTAGTAACATGGTTATTAAATGAATCTGGCTTCCCCAGAGCCAAGGTGGCGTAGTGGTTAAATGCAGCACTGCAGGCTACTGCTAGATCAGCAGGTCAGCGGTTCAAATCTCACCGGCTCAGGGTTGACTCAGCCTTCCATCCTTCTGAGGTGGGTAAAATGAGGACCCGGATTGTTGTTGGGGGCAATATGCTGACTCTGTAAACCGCTTAGAGAGGCCTGAAAGGCCTATGAAGCGGTATATAAGTCTACTGTTATTGCTATTGCTATTGACTTCACAAGACCCTGAGGCACTGCAACCGTCATAAATATGAGTCAGTTACCAAGTGTCAAATTTTTGATCACATGACCATGGGGCTGCTGCAACGGTTGTAAGTATGAAAAACAGTCAAGTCACTTTTTTCAGTGCCATTGTAACTTCAAATAGTCACTAAATGAATGATTGTAAGTCAATCGGTCTGCTCTGAACATTCTTTTTGTATTTTGAGCCTGAAACTTCCAAAAATAATTAAAACAGTACTATCTGCTTTTAAAATGGGGCTGTTCCAGTTCTGAAGCAGCTGCAACTTGAAATATTTCAACGCATTCACTCCTTTCCTCTTAGAATATTCACTTTAAAACAATAAATGCAGAAACAAAAGCAATGTTCCCTTGCTTAGCCATGAAAGCCAGGTCACTCTCATCCCAACCCATCTCACAGAGTTATTGTTGTAAGGAAAATAGGAGGCGGAGGAAGGTGTGTTGGATATGTTCGCCACCTTGAGTTATGGAAGGTAGGAAGGAAGGCAGACCAAACAGACCAGCTAAAGGCAGTTTATTCCTAGAGTAGCTTTCCTGTACAGCTACCTGAGTAAACAAGCATGTAATCAGTACATTTTTAAAAATAAGATGAGGTCAGCTCCAAGTTCCTGTATACCAGGGGTATCAAACTTGCATCATCATGGTGGCATCACGTGACATATCAAGACTTTTACCCCCTTTTCTAAACAGGGTGTGTCCGTGGCCAGGGCGTGATGCATCTGGCCTGCGGGCAGCAAGTTTGACAGCCCTGCTGTATACATTTGTTATCTGATGTTATCCTTAGTGCTTCCTCCAGATGGTGATGTTGCAGTGCAGGGAGAAAATACTACTGTCCCCAGAGGGAGTTAAGTTTCAATCTGCTCTGTAAGTGGTGACTTGTTTGGAAAAGGTTTTAAGCATATAGTAAGGGAATAGAAATGTCTCACTCTTCAGGGTAGAAGGAAAATGCAGAATCTTCTCTCTGCTCCAGATAAGATTTCTCCTCTAGAAGTATGGAATTTACCTTTCAGCATGTTCCTGGAAGACACAGATCTGGAGAAAACTGTTCCAGATCATTTGCAGAGATCCAGGATTTTTTCTTACATTTCCAAAAATGGGGTATTTGAAAACACTGTTTTTTTAATCTGATTATTTTATCCTGCCTTTATTATTTTATAAGTTACACAGAGCAGCAAACATGCACAGTATTTTCTTCTGGGCTGAGAGATTGGCTGTGCCAGCTTTCATACCTAAGAAAGGACTAGAATTCACAGTCTCCTGGTTTCTAGGCTAGCACCTTCACCACTACACCAAACTGTCTCTCACTTTTCTTCCCTGTCAGAGGGAAGAGCAAATGGTGTGCAGCCTTTTTGGCTGCCGGATGTTTTCTGCCCTGTGTCCTTTCACTGTTGAAGACAGCACAGGCTGTTGGGGATGAGTCTGTGTTGTTTGCATCTCAAACTGAAGTGCAAAATGGTTCCTTCTTGACTCTATAAGAATGCAAATGACCAGCTGTCTTCAAGGAATATAAATTCTTTCGTTCCCCACCATCCAGTCAGTCAGAGATGAAGAAACTTCTTGGATGAGAAGCGAAGTGTCTTCAGAGAAAAAACAAAGTCCAGTTTCCTCCTGAAAAAGTACCATTGGGTCTATCTTGGCAACTTTGTCAGATGCATAGAATTCTGGGAGTTGAAGTCCACACAGTGAAGCTTCTTGGATGAGAAGCGAAATGTTGTCTTCTTCCTCAAGGAAAAGAAAGTCCAGTTGCCTTTTGAAAAAGCATATTTGAGACAACTATTACCATATTTTTCAGCGTATAAGACGCACCAGAGTATAAGACACACCAAGGTTTTGAAGAGGTATTTTTTTTAAAAAAGTAGGTAGGTAGATAGAGGGATAGAGAGGGAGAGAAAGAGAGATAGAGATAGAGAAATACGGTACATAGGTAGGGGGAGAGAGAGAGAGTAGATAGTTTTAGTTTAGTTTAGTTTTATTAAACATTTATAGGCCGCCCTTTTCCCTGAGGGGACTCAGGGCGGCTTACAATAATAGGGGAGGGGAGTGCAGGACAAGACACAAAAGAAAATGTGAGTAACAAATAATTAGCAGTAAAAACACAATGAGATAGGTAGGTACGTGTTTCCAGGTATATTTATGCATGTGCTGGAGAAGGAAATCACTGACAATCTGCAGCACCTAAGACTGTTTCTGCTGGCACAGCACTTGATCAATCTACTTCTCATCAATCAGTTAAAGAGCTTTCCAAAAGGGGGGGGGGGAAGTTTTTGCACTCTGCAAACTTCCCAAAAATGGCCCGTTTTTCACAAAAACGGACCTATTTTCCCCCCAAAAAAGGCATGAATAGCCTTGGGACTTGCAGAGTGCTCCGGGGGGGGGGGGGAAGCGAGCAAAAAGCAGCCCATTTTTCGCAAAAACGGGTTCGTTTTTCATCAAATAAATTGCATGCATAGCCTAATGGAGCTTATAGAGTGCTGATGGGAGCTGGGGGGGGGGGCAAAAAGCCCTTTTTTTGCTCATTACTGCCCTCCCCAGCCCCAAGGAGCTCTCTGAAAGCCTCCATAAGGCTATGCACGGCCATTTTGGGGAAGGAGGTGGGGCTTCGGGAGGCAAAAAATGCTGTATTCAGTGTACAAGACGCACCCAGATTTTTAGCCTCTTTTTTGAGGGAAAAAAGTGTGTCTTATACTCCGAAAAATACGGTATCTTGTTTATTTTTAATGGTGCCATCCTTTCTTCTCTGCAGGTTGTGATACTGTGCTGGACTGGCTGAGGCGCTCATATTGGAGTTGCCAACTTGGCAATAATTTAGTTAAAGAAGGTGAGGAAAGTGAAGAATCATCAGAAGTGGATGGCGAAGATGAGATGGCCAGCAGTCAAGAAGATTCAAAGAAGACGCCAGATGAGCAGAAACAACAGGAACTCTGTGGTAGATGTATTCAGATCTATTGTTTCTTCTTTCTGCACTTAATGTTTTTCTAAAGGATTCTTTTTTTCCAATCTCTCCCCCAGGAAAAGTCAGAGATGTTTTGACTTCGTTTAAAAATCAACAGCTTGAGGTAAGCTCTGTAGATTCTTAATCAGACTAGCAATTTTTGTTTCCTTTGAAAATTCTTCAAATGATAAAAATGTAAATGAAAAAATAAAGTATTAATTCTAGGAGTTTTGCTTTGATTAAAATGTTATAGTTTGGACTTTCTGATGCAAAGACAAAGCAAAGTCTCCTGATTCACCACATGTAGTCCTCAACTTGCAGCTGGTTGCTTAGCAACCATTCAAAGTTCCAACCAACCTGGTGTGTCCACATGTGTCATGTGCAGGCCATGCCCACCCCAGCTCTGCAAAGGGGAAAAAAAGATTGCGATATATCACAATATATCACATGACGTGATTGAGTTTGACACCCATGACCTATACAGTCATTTGCAATGTCCCATATTTTTTATGCTAAAAAACAACACTTCCAGTTTTGGGCAAAACTACATTTGCGGCAAACAAGTGGATCACACTTAAACCGTAGAATTTGCTTAATGATCGGCACAGGAAAAGGGTAAAATCAGATTGTCACATGACCATCATGAATATGACTGTAATGGCAAGCTCTCTTATGGTCGTATGTCGAGGACTACCCGATACTTTTTCCAAATGAATTGGGTCTGCATCTTCCAATGTTTCCTGCGATTGGAAAAAGTGAGTTCAGAGAATGCCCCAAAAGTGCTTTTTTCAGGAGGCAACTGGACTTTCTTGTTTTTTCTTTGAAGACATTTTGCTTCTCTTCCAAGAGAAGTGGGGAAGCAATGCTGTCAGAACTGATGAAGCTTGGGCTTCCGGGGAGGGATTGCCGTTGTCGGCAGCTTAACGGAGCTGCCCCCAGATTCCTGGTTCGTTATCTATTTAATATCTTTTAGATATCTCTTTTTTCAGGCAAGAAAAAAGCAGAGAGCGTCTCAGTCGGCAAGAGTCTTCTTTGAAGTTCGCAGGTTTTTTGGGGGGGCTGCAAACGGAGGGGAAGAGTCAGTCAAGGCTGAGTCATCTACTCCGGCCAGAAAATCTCAGCTGTTTTTTTTACAGCGCAAGGCGAGAAACCCCCCCCCCCTCTTGGACAATTTTTGTAACTATGTTATTGAAATTAA